ATATATATATATATATATATATATATATATATATATACACACACACACACACACACACACACACACACAATCCATTTAACAAATAAGAACATCAAATATAATTCATACAACAAGTGCATTAACTATTAATTATATAGTTCCTAGTCTCACCCGACCTAATAATAGGCATATACTACCCTAAGGTCATGAAGTGCGAAACTCACCTCCAATATAAAACACTCTTTGAAGTAGCCTGATACACCCTTTACAACATGACTACCTTCAACCTTCCTAATAATAATAAACAGAGTTAAATTATGGCTACTTTGATACCCGAGAACTATAAATGGATTATGGACTAAATTTTAGATTTTTACATCAAAATTATGGTATGTTCAGGACCTGTTTTTCCCTCCTTAAACTCCGAATTTTGCAAAAATGTACAACACTTATGTTGTTCAGATCCATACCTTTTCAGGGACTACTCGCATGCCTTCATACGATTTTTTCTATAATCTTTGACGAATTTTACAAAACTGCCTTGCATAGGAGCTCAATCCGGACCAGTGTGAGCAAATGATCGATTTCACCCTAATTAGAGGCATTTCCAACTTTCGTGTAAAACTAATGAAATGAAGAAGACTCAAATACATAACTTTGGGCACCTGTTTTAACCAAAACCGATGTCTCTAGCATCAATTATGATGTTTACAAAAAACGGGACAAAACAATGGATTTTTCAGAAAGATGAAACTAGGGTCAGGGTTCAATCCACTCAATGCATTAAGTCCCAAATTAAATTAAGACCTTCCAAGTCTGTAACACATCAGCGCTATGTCCTATAAGACTTTTCCAAGCAATGAGGAAGAAATCATATCTACGTTGTTGAGATTGAAAGCTCCATACAAGCCTTGCACTTAAAACGATTGACAACAACCCTTAAACTTTTGTCATGATTTCAGATATGTGACTCGAGCTCCAGACAATAAAAATAAAATTCCAAAGGTAAAAACTTTAATATAGGTCTTCGGAAGTTGCACTCCAATTTTCTCGATCATCCGATGGTTCATTCTCCGGGGATCGTCCAAACACTGTTGTAAGATCTTTAAAAACGGACCAAAGGGCTTCTAGCTCATTGGTATTCGGCGTTGCCCTCCCTCTTTGAGGCTGAGAGTTCAAATCTCGTCGTGGACATAAGTGAATTTAAAGAATAATTTATGAGTAAGTTAGATTTTCCGTTTAAAAAAAGATCTTAAAAAACGAGAATTCCGAAAATTTTCCAACTTGGAGTTGTTTCCCTTTTCCTCCTCTTTGGTCAAACTCTTTCTTAGTGAAAGTCTAGGGTTTTAAGTTTTATATTAGTTCAACTTCCTCCTTGGGTTACTTGGATCCCCGTGGTTCAAAACATTTACACTTAGGTCCTCCTCCTTAATTCCTTGCAAATTTAGCATTTTTCTTTAGAATTATCTCTTTCTAACCCCTCGTAAATAACCTTGTACAAACTAATATGATACCCTTAAATAACATTATTATTTCAACTAAAAAATAATAACCCCTAACATTATAAATCAATTTCTTTGATAATTACTTATTTTAAAATATAAAATGGAAAATGGGGTGTTACAAAGTCCTTCATTTGACGGCTGTAGAGACACACCCAACACATATCCATGGCCCCATAAGTCATTTTCCTATGCGGTACCAAGGTCATTTAATCATAAACGATGTAATTAAGGGTATACCATAGAGTTAACTAAAAATATACGGGAGTGAAATAATTAAAAATGTATCCCCCCTTGTGAAGTACCAGTACCACGGTACCACCTTCGTATCCCACACTTTTTTAATACATTGTAGAAACATGGATACCATAGCCTCAAGTTGTATAACATGCATCTCATGTGACAAACTACTCGTGACATTCATCAACCTCCATTTGCAACCCGACTATAATTTAGTCCTTATTAGTTGATGGTACATTGGGTTGTGGTGGTGGTGGGTCAGATGCATATGAACCTTTGCCAACATCTGGTTGTGCCTTCTTTTGTGGAGGCTCATAGGTAGGCGAGTTGCGAGGCGATGATGTTAAAGAATGTGTCATGTAAACGTGTGTCGTAGCTAAACACATTACTTTCATATTTTAATTTCACAGACTCATTCTTCTTAACCACCTGAAATACACGGGACCGAACGGCAAGACCATAATCGGAGGCAACAAATATTCACCAAATTGGAAGTCGGTGAGAATATAAAATTCTTTCTTCCTGAAAGTCAGCTCGTACCCCCAACCTCAAAAACCATTTCCTCTACTTCGCTTCGAGGGTCCGTCACAACTTCGTGGCAAAAAACGTAATGTAGAATTAAAGGATCCCCTTTTACCCCCACAGGAATAGCTAACCACCTACAAATATAGGTCTTTCGAAATATAGCCTTACATGGCGGTGTGTCCCTGAGTGTCACAAGCATATCTGCAACAATTGTGGGTGTGCAAGATAGTGTAATTGATGATTCAAAAATCTTGTCATGTTGCAAATAAAACCAACCAAAATAATTTGAAAGTAAATTCAGAAGTTTAAAACGGTGAACCGAAACGAAATGTGATGAACATTCCGAAACTGTTATGCACATTCCAGACATGTTTTTCGTGTTCCAGAGTAGTTCCTCGCATTCCCCCCATGTTCCATACTTGCTTTTCGTGTTCCGGTATATCAAATTTCGATGTATAATAGCCTAAGACGATAACTAAACTAGTTTTGGGTTAGTCCTAACTATCAATTAAACATCTACAAACGACCTGGAATGTGTTATTTGTGTTTCGGACTAACTTACTTACATCAATAATCTTAAAAATCAAACAACTAAAAGTGTAGGAGTCAAGGATTTACTCGTAAAGCGAATAAATCATCGAGATTGTGTTCCATATATTCTTTGGGTTTTTAGTCTGAAATATGTAGAAAGGGCAATAATGTGTTAGAATATGTTTGTAGTTTGTGCTCCAGAATATGTCGGGATAAAATCCGGAATACGGTTTTATAAATTGTACTCCAGAACATGTCGGAGTATTCCAGAGTGTGCATTCCGGAATGGGTTGAATAGGTCGGGCCGGGTCCACAGTTCGAAATCCATTCCGGAGAATATGATTATTTTGCAAAAACAATTTTATTGAGATTATTTTTTAAAATAAACACAAAAAAGTTATTTTATTATTATTTATTATTTATTTTTTAAAATACATAAGTATGGTAATCTTTATAGAATTTTAAAGACTTAAAGGATTTATTTCTTTCACATGGTACCGATACCAATAATGCATATATGAGTGACGATTCTAAGGTTGGGCAGAAATCCTTTGCAAGATTCAAGACAAACCATTGCGATTTCTTTACTCCGTTTAACCTCACTCGCAAATCGCAATTCGTATCGAATCTATAATCCTCGCTATCTCCTTCGATTTTGCCCCTTTTTCTGCAAATCCTAACCCTAGTTTTCCCCATGGCCAGCGACAACGAAGAACGTAAGCATCGTCGTTCCTCTGACGACGAATCTGAAGAACCCTCGAAACGCCGTAAGCACCGCCATCACCGCCGCCGCCACCACCGTCATCATAGTCGAAAGCACGACAAGCACGAAGACAGACGTGAAGAGGGCGAGGAAGAAACCACAAATATGCCTCCTCCTCCTCTTCCTCTTCTTCCGTCTGCTAATTCTCAGCCCGATTATGACATGGAAGAAGGAGAGATTTTGGAAGAGGATGGCGCTGATGTCGGGGTGAAGAAGACTGCAGATTCTGATGCCGAGTCTGGAGAAATCAAAATGGTCTGTTCGGACCCTCCTTACTTTCTTTTTTCTTGTTTCTGTTATAATCCATGAACTGCAACAAATTTTTTTCGTGGTTACTATTGGTTGCTGAGAAATTGACAAAGATTAGGTATGCAAATGGGCTATTTGCACCCAATTTCGTCTTTGATAAAGTCGATTTCATTTTAAGTGGATGGAGTAGAAATAGGGTTTCGGTTTCTCAGCATCCAAAAAGGATTTAACTTTACCTTCTAATATCGTAGATTTCGCAAGACATTGCTATGGCAGCATAAGCAAGTTTGCTATTGCACAAGCAAACAAAAACACTCGTTTTTTTCAATCAAGAATCTTAAATCCATTCCATTCAGCCCCCCTAAAGCTTGAATGAAACCATGTTGTTTTTGTTGCTTTTGCAATCAAGGAACTTCCTTTGACAGCCATAACAAGCATGTCTGTACTTTTGGCTTTTGTATTCCTCCCTGTTCATTTGTGTAACGGAGGCCTTGGTATTTCTTGGGGTTCTTACAAATGTTTTAAAGTCCTGTTTGCAACCCACAGAATTATGATATGAATCTGAAAAGGAGCAATCCACTCCACCACCAGTTACATCTTTTTTCCAGGCCACAGTTAAAAAAATTAGGCGTATCCTGAAGACTACTGATGATTTTCAACTGATTTGTAAGAACTGGTTACATGTCTCTTACTCCTTTTCTTTTCCTGCAGTTCTTGAACTTGTTGTCTAATGTTAACCTTTTGGGATCTCTACCTATCATAAATGTTCTTTCATTGTTTCTTTTTTATATGTCTTGTTTGCAGGAAACCCATGGAGCTCTGGTCGTGCCCAACCATAGTCATGTTAAGGAGGAAAGTTTAAGCAAGGAGGATAACAATAATGGGCATATGAGAAGCGTTTCCCCTGGTGGAAACGATAACATAAAAACCCTTTATGATGAGGATCATGAAACAAGGGCCCACAAAAAACATCCATCTAATGACAACCATTTGAAAACACATAAAGACTCATCAAGAAACCATGCACATGAAAGAAGCCGAGAAGATGTTTCTACTACTAGTAGATCTAGGTCTCATGAGCAAGGTAGGGAGAGGTCACGTTCTAGAAGCATTTCTCATGGAGCATCTCGCCTTGAAACACACAAAGAGGATGTTGAGTATTACACAAGCAGGAAACACAGTGGGGATGCTGATAGTGAAAGGACAAATAAGCCCTCGAAGGACTACAAACATGGGAGTAGAGATTTGATAAGGGACAAAGAAAGAGAGCGTAGTTCTAGTCGTAGCAGACATAGTCTACAAGTAGATAAGCATCACAGCAGGGATCCTGGAGAGAGAATTAGAGAGGGCAGCAGAGATAGGGAGAGAGATAGAGATAGAGGGAGAGATTTGAAAGAGATTGAGAGAGATAGAATGAAAACAAGACAAATATATAAGAGTTTCAAAAAGTTCACAGTTGTTTATGAATGTAATTATGGTGCTTTTAATGGTAAGTTGTGAACAGAAACAAACATTGTGTTACCCTTTATGATACCTTCTTTAAAACAATGGTGTTTTGTTAAAAAAAAACAAATAGTTCATTACAGATATACAACGACATTAACCCTTATAAAAACAAACTAAATGATGGGATTTAAGGAGAAAACTATCCAACTTAGACACATAGAAAACATATGTGCATCAATGATGGAAATAAGTAATAAAATAGAAATTTGGGAACATACTATTTCCAGACATGTGGAAGCTTCTTGGTCTTCTTGTAGTAACGAGCAAGTCTGTGAATTCTGCTCTCAACAAGAATCAACCTGAATTTGGAATCCTTGTCCTTCCTGTTCTTCTCCAAATGCTTTCTAATAGCAACTGCCTTCTTGATCAAATGGTAAAAATCCTCTGGGATTTCAGGAGCAAGCCCTGCCATGTCATCAAATATTAATAAAATCAACATATTAAAAAACACAATAAGGATGAGATTAAGAGAATGCATACCATGTGCCTTGAGAATCCTGAGAATCTTACTCCCAATTACAGTGTTCACTTGTGCAATTCCATGAGAATCACGAAGGATAACACCAATCAATGATGGGGTTAGACCCTTCTTTGCAAACTTACAGATACTGTCTTGAACCTGAAGAATTATGAAAGCAAAGAGTTGTAATCAGATTTGGAATTTATAATCAAGCGCTCTCAAATAGGTTACTTAGATACACCAATCACAAAGAGATACAGTCTTTTATAGTAGGACTGAAAAAATATGTTGAAGTTGTTGAAATGCACAACAAAAACATCTTCAACCGATCCAAATTAAAAGAAGCTGAATAATTGGTATCAAGGTAATAGAGCTACATGCAAATAAGTAATATGAACTTTGAACAATGAACATTAAAAACATAACATACATCCTGAGGAGAGATCTTGAGCCATCTTGGTGGAGTTCTCTTGTATGGGATCTCTGGGGAAGATGAAGATTTGTTCCATTTGAGCATATAAGAAACTTATGACTTATTTGTGTTGAATAATCTAATAGTTTATGACTTTATGTATCTTCAGCTAAAGTAAATTCAGGCACTCTTGAAGGTCAAGGTGAATTGTCAGATAGTAACACAGGAGACACACCATTTTCAGTTGAGAGGACATCTGGCACAGGTGGACTTAGAGAGGATTCACTATATATATTAAACAATACACACAAGTTTATTTATGAATGTAATTGTTAAATGAAATCTATTAGATCGTGTCAGATTGGTAATCACTACATAAAAATTCATAATTCGCATTAAATGC